CTATCATCATCTATCTATCATCTATCTATCTATCTATCTATCTATCTATCTATCTATCTATCTATCTATCTATCTATCTATCATCTACCTATCTATCTATCATCTATCTATCATCATCTATCATCTATCTACATCTATCTACATCTATATCAAAGGTATAAAAGATGTTTTTCTTACCTTGCTGCCCAAGCAAATGGCATCCGGTACTGTCCTAGTCTTTGGCATGCCTGCTTGGCATTCTTCAGCACCTTCTGAGCAACCTTGAAGACAGAATAAAGCCATGAGATGCTGCATCCCACTGACAGGAGAATTACCATCTAAAGAGCCATCCATCATCACAAGCTTTTACTGTAGTATCAGATACAAAAGCACACTTGGCTGTAATAAATACGGCTGGATTGACACTCAGCACAGAGTACGCTGTTTAATGAATTCTCTAGCAGTGATTTTCAACAAATATAGAATAAAGACTGTTTCCAAAATGTTATGTCCTTTCTTACCTAAAATGTTGCTTTCACAGGCAACAACTATGCCACATCATAGGCTTTCCTAGTTTTTACGATTAAGGGCTACTTATAAGTTCATTGAGTTATCAATAATTAATAATACTTGGTATTCATACCAAAATATATTGCATTACTAGAGTTTAAATGAGTACATTAATGAAAATACTAAGCTCTCACAGCTCCTAATATGTACTGGCTTGTGCAGAATCCCACAACTTGGGGATAAATAGTAATTATTAAAACATTATAGGTGATGACTTGTTAGTGCAAGGTTTTCAATTTCTATATATTTTCTTTCTAAGTATAAATTCTGCTATTTTCACTTCCTAATGACCAGTTTTGCCTTTTTGTGGGTTGACTGATTAACCCTATAGTACACAGTGAAGCAGATTTGCTTTTGGCTTAAGATGTACACATGGCAGGTCTATTAACCAACTATACCCCAATTGCTAAAGAAAATGACACTTAATTTTCCCAAAATTGCTTGTACTGGGATATGGCGTTGTTACCAATGCAAAGTCTACTTCAGTCAGAGTGATGTGTTGAAGGGTCATTTACATTACTTAAGTATATCCAAGACAAACCAATTTTGGGGAGTAATCTAGCTCGTGTGAACCAGTCTGTGTTCTGCAGAGCGGCAACATCAGCATCACCTGGGAACCTGTGAGGAATCAGGGTCCCAGACCCCACCCCCGACTTCCTGGGTTAGAACCTGCACCTGACCAGACGTCCAGTGACCTGTGTGCACTGGGTCTGGGTTTGAGAAGCGCTCATCTAGAAGACTCAGGAGTAGAATAATAGAGCTGCCTGTCTCCAAGCCAGGTGTGTGAATCTATAGGCCATTACACCTCTCTAGGTTCCACTTTCCGTAACTTAAAAATGAAGGGCTTGGTTTATACTTTTCATTACAAAACATTAGGATTCTACCATAATCATGCTGTGGGAATTGCTGCCTTCATGAGTGAACTGGAAAACACATCTCGATTGAAATAGATGTCAGAAGCTCATCTAGTCCTTCCCTTTCTTCTTCAAGTGGGGTGTGTTCAAATAGAGACTCAGGTTTGAAGTCATGGGGTAAAATGGCCTACTTCCTGGAGTGGCAATTATGGTGGAAACTATTATTCTGAGGTTTAACAATAATGACTATGTCGTGGAGTAAAATGGAACATTTGCATAAATTTAAAGCTAAAATACAAGGCTTTAAGTAAGTTTCACTCTTCCCTGCAGTGAACGAGGACTGAGCCCTCAGACTTCCCAAGGGTGCAAATGGAACATAATTATGTATGTGACAGAGTGAGAAACTCATTTTTGCCCTTTGGGTTTATTTATTCCTTTCCTCCCTTCCTCCCTTCCTCCCTTCCTCCCTCCCTTCCTTCCTTCTCCTTTTTTTTTTTTTTTTAAATCTGTTTGCGATGGGCCTACAGAGACTTTTCATAAAAATTTCCTCCAAAAGATGTTCTAGACCATCTTGGAAAACATGAGGAGGCAATTTTTATACACAGAGGGGGAAAAAATATCCCTCTGTCATCTCTCTGCCAAACCTTCTATTCCGATGTAAGATGGTTGAATCTTAATCTCTGCTTTAATTTACTGCTTTGGAGGTGTGAATAAATGGAAAAATGTGCACATGGCTGAGCTTTACATCCCATAAGTGATGAAGAAACAGGAGACATCAGCAGATGCTCAATGGACACTTGGGAGTGTGGAGTGTAACATCTAGTCCACAATGACACGTGGTTTCTGTACCAATGTGAGCTTTCACATTTCAAACTGTGCATGTGGCACACAGAAATAGCAAAGTCGGTGCGTCTGGGCCTTGGAAATGTGTTGCATGCACAGTCAGGGGAGTAGATCTTATCTTGGGCCTTCACTGATTATTAATCAAAACATCAAAGAGCTAAAAGAACTCTCATCCACAGTTTTACAGACATGATTTAAAAAATAAAACAGCTTCTCTCCAGAGACCAAACTTTAATTAGCTTTTATCAGCCAGAAACACACACTGTTTGAAGCAATGAGCCTGGGTAAACGGGCTTTTACTTGACTGGGGGTATAACAAAGGATACCGAGGTCCTGCATGGTCAGTGGTTCGTGGAGTCCATATCAGCATTGTCTTGTACAGGATCTGTATGATCCTAGCACTGTCCCTGAGAGGAAGGCAGGGGCAGGTAGCAATATTATCCCTCAACTACGGATTAAACATCTGAGGCCCAGAGAGGTGACATGATTTATCCAAAGTATCCAGGCTAATTAGGTGCTCAGCACTTACGCTTCTGATTCCTAGAGCCTGTTCTTTGAGGAACATCCTGTGTCCTGGTGGACACACTTGTGATGTATGGGTGACCACAGAAAGGAAGAGAGGAAACTGAGTTAGCTCAGCAAACCTCCTGTTAGAGCCTCTGAGGTGTCCCCTCCTATATCAGGGCAATCTTCAAATGACCACTTATCCAAATTTTTAAAAAACAATAAAACTGTACAACTGGCAGGGATAATACTCAACAGCTTGCTCTAACCAGGTAGCTCAATGTGCTGGCAAGTGACAGTCAAGTGTCCTTTGGCCACTCTAGCTGTGGGACACTAAGCAGGTAAATAAATAAACCTTTGTAAACCTCAATCTTCTGAATGTGAAAGGAGGTCTTGGACTAGATGACTTCTAATAATCTGTAATTTTATGGTATGTCCACACCTACACATTCCCCAGGTAATGAACAGTACTTTGCACATTTACCAAACATACATCCTCTATGTTTCCCTTCCCTCTTCTATTTAAGGTCACACTACCTCTGCCACCATAACCCTGTCCTATCTGACAAAACACAAGTAGACCCGAACCACCAATCCTACTGGCCACACCATCTGAGCCAGATTGTCTCCTAGTCTCAGTCTCGTATTTAAGTGTAAATGGACCCAAATATAATTCCAGAACCTGAGAGAGACATCAAGTGAAATAATTTTAGCTGAATATAATATATGAATCTTGTAATGAGAGAAAGTTTACTATTAAGCTGATAAATCCTCTGCAAATTATTTCAAGGTATCAGGATAGTCCAGCCAAATGAAGCATTTTATTGACACATAGGACTACTTTTCACTGAAAATTGAACACATAAGATTAAATATAAGAGTAAACCTATGTACAGTAGTCTACATCTTTTGAAATATATATATGGTTTAATTTTGACTTCTTTAAGCATTTCTACTTCATCAGAGAGCACTTTCTCCCGATTGCTATTTACCTTCACAAAGCATAAAAGTCATCCCTACCTTAGAAGAGTCTGAACTTTTCATGTAAGGCTCAGCGCCATGCGTGATGCTCCCCTGAAGGACCTTTTCAATTCTAGCCACGAGAAATATATCTGGGTGAGGACACGTGACTGAAAATATTCCCTAGGGGACAAAAGATTTTCTTCAGTAAGTAGAATTCACAGCCACATTAAACAAATCCCATGAACACTAAAGGTTCTAAAGCAGCAAAGAAGGGTGAAATCATTTAGCTATTAAGAAGCACCCAGTGCCAAACTTGTTAACTGATCAATAGTTCATCATCTGTTCAAATAGGCTTTTTGGTGGGGGAGGCAACTAGCAGAAAGTTTAGAAAAAAGGAATGAGAAATCCAAAACCACTTCTCTCAGCTTGCTTTTACTGCCTAATTAGATAAGCTGTCAATATAGTCAACAGTCTCTCCCCAGTTATACATTACAAAGTCCCTATGTATTTCCACAGCATGTGTAAAGTAAGTCTTAGTAGCATGACTGGTGGGCTCAGGCCCCCTACCTGCTTCGGATACTGCATGGCGGCTTCATGAAGGATGTCCTGAAGCGCAGGCGAGCTCCGCCCGCTGCCATTCATCACAGCCGGGGACGTGGTGGCCAGCATCTGCCTCACTGAGAAATGGTTCAGGTCCACATGGAAATCGGCAGAAATCTTCCGGTTGTCCTTGATGTCAAACAGGGAGAGGGTAACAAAGAAAGGCTCGACCTGAACAAAACAAAACAATCCAGGCCATCACTATGGCTCAAAGAATAAATTACTGGACATATTTATGATTGTTGCTATAAATTAACTGCTAAAGAGAAATAGCCTCAATATCCATCCTTTGTCACAAACATCCTGTCCCAGCAGGCTAAACGAGCCCCCACATCCTGATCTAAACATTGTACCTCCTTAAACCTCCGTTTTTTAGAAATCTTTAAGAAAAATTACATTTGTAGTGGGTCCTTCTTCATTTTCGGCAACACAGCACTGCAGATTGAAAGACAGATCATTGCACTTGACAAGAATTCTCTTCCCAAACTTCTCTTCAAATGGCTTCACTTCTGGTTCAGCTGATGGGAAGTCAAGCTTCTTTTAAAAAAAAGTAAACATATAAATACATTATGCTCACATTAAAAAAAATCCCATAATAAATGCACCCTAAGGAAACTGCCATATGGAAAAGCCATATACACCATTACTCACAATAGTGTTTTATAAGTTTATATAGTTTATTATAATGGTTAAAAAATGATGGCATATCTACTTAATGGATTATCATACAGAGCTTAAAAATTATGGTTATGAGCAACTCAGTGCCCATCAACAGATGAATGGATAAACCAAATGGGATATATACATACAATGGAATATTATTTAGCCACAAAAAGAAGTAAAATTCTGACACGTGCTACCACATGGTTGGACTTTGAAAATATTATGCTACATGGAATAAGCCAGGCACAGAAGGACAAATATTATATAATTTCACATATATATTAAGTCCTTAAAATAGGCATATTCACAAAGAGAGAAGGTGGAGTAGAGGTTACTAGGGGTGAGGGGAAGGAGGAATAGGGAAGTGACTGTTTAATGGGTAAAGAGTTTCTGTTTGGGATGATGAAAATGTTCTGGAAATGGATAGTGGTGATGGTTGCACAGCATTGTAAATGTTTTTAATTACTAAACTTCACACTTGAAAAAGGGTTAAAATGGTAAATTTCATGTTATGTATATTTTATCACAAGTAAAAAAACTGTCAAAAAGCAAAAATATATATAGGGTTATGAAGTCTGTGAAGAAACATAGAAAACCATTTATTATTCAAGTTAAGTGGGGAAAAGAAGTTCTATAAAAAAAAGACCACACATGAAGAGGAAAAAATACAGAAGGAAGTACTGCAGAACCACTGTCTCCAGAAACTCCCTATCTGTGGCAGCCCTGGTGGTCCTAGCCACGCCACGACTTGGATTTTGTTGGGACACAGATGTGGATCGACTGCACTGCAAGGCTTGTACTTGAGGCTGAATTTGGGATAGTCAGGAAATAATCACTGTTTACTGGGCATCTGCAGCGATGCTTGTTATTTTCTGACTATTATTTTATGGGGTACAGTATAAATGTCTGAGAATGTCCTTGGATAAATTTCTCTCGATTTTCATCAATTGAATATAAATTTTCACAATGTTTGTGCTGTGGTGATGAGATTACAGGTTGTTTTTATTTTTCCTCTACCCCTTGAATTTTCTATAGTGTTGTTATATTGCTTGTCAATCAAAAATAAAACAAGACATAAAGAAATAAATAATCTGTCAAAGGTTCCTTTCCTGAACTTAGTTTGAAACTTTAAACATTAAAACAGTTCTTACCTGGGCATCTGGGTCCAAGTGAAAAAGTTTAACTCGGCTTTCACTTTTCAGTTTGATTTCTGCATCTCGGGTACTCTGATCAGATAAACAAAAAATATAAATTAGATTTAAAAATAACCCATTTTCTTACAGGGGTGGCCGAGTGTGTTTGAAAGCTGCCCCTTCCTGAAGAGCCAGGCTGCCAGAAGATTCTACCCTCAGCTTGGGGAGCGAGCTGCATGTCAGGAACAGCACACAGTGGGAGTGTTGTCAGAGGAAAAGAGATTAATACCTGACCCTTGCCCTTATGAAGCTGACAATCAATTAGAGAGTCAAATGCAATACAAAGAAAGCAAAAGAGAATAATTAAGCATTGCTATCAAGAAAGGCTTCATAATGCAATGGAATAGGGGCCAGGCTTTGCAAGAATTTAGATAGCGAAAAGGAGGAAAACAAACATTTTAGGCTGAATGAAGAAGATGCACACCATGGAGAGATCCTGAATGTGAAAATGAGCCCAGATGGTAGAAAAATTTAGGGTTCACTTAAGCCTGAAAGTACAAGCAACAGAAGAGAAAGGAATATATTTTGAATGGCAGGAAAGAGAAAACTATGGCAGACACTGAAGGATAGCCACAGGTGTCAGTGGCAGGGAGGGGGCATTGCTGATTCATTAAACACATATTTATTGAGCACTTATTATGTATCAGGCACTACGGACACAAACATGAATGAAACAAAGTCTCCACCCCCAAGGACACTAGCTGGGAAGACAGAATATAAACAGGCAATAAGAATGGCAAAAGAAAGCATAAGGGACAGTGACAGCTAACCTGAACCAGGAGGGGCAGCCAGGAAAAGGCGCCCAACTTAAAGGACCAGAACATTAGGCAGGAAAGGAGAAAAGGGCATTCTAGGAAGAGGTACTGCAGATACAAGGAGGCAAGTCACACCTGAGCAGTTACCAAATCATTTATGACTGAATGTTTGTACATAATGAAAACAGTAAAAAAAAAAAGAGTCTAGAATTTGTATGTTAAGGACTGAGGATTTCATTCAAAATCCAAAAAAAATCCTGCAATATTTTAAGCAAGGGAATACAATAACCAGTTCTGCATTTTAGAAGCATGACTCAGGCAGGACTGAGGAAATAGATTAAAAGGGGAAAGACTAAGAGGCCACCTGGTCTCTCCTGGGTTATTACAACTGCCTCTGAGTTTCACAGCAAGCCCCATACAAATTTCACATTCCTAGTTGAGAACCCTGCTGACTGGGCAAGCTAGTAACTGAGAGAGATAATTCAGGACCAAGAGCAAGTCTGTGGAGAAGGTGGTAAATTCGAGTTTGGAGATGCCTGTGGGATTTCCAACTGGAAACATCCAGTAGACAGCTAGAGAGCTGGAACTTGAGGACAGCCAGGGATGAAGGCTGGAATCACAGACTTGGAGAAGAGAGACCATTGAGGGAAACAGACATATGGTGGCAGAGACAGGGGGCTGGAGAAGTGGGATTTGGGAACAGAAAGGAGAAGCTTCTAAGATATCCACAAGACAGAAGTCATCTCTAACAACATTATTTCCCACACGTGGCACCTCTAATCTATATCCTGTTCTTCTTATTTCTCTCAATCTCAATGGTGAAATTTATAAATCTATAGTCAGAAGAGAATGCCCTTTCTCATGTGCTCCTTTCTGCAAAGACCACAAGTCACATGTCACATCACATGTCACATGTGATGGGTCAGTGACAGCTACAGTGACAGCCTCTATGCTGGTGGCTGAACAAGGTCTATTATTACATTTCTGATCATGGTTAATGAGAAATTGAGCATTGCCTTCATTTTCTCAGGCATGTAGCTGTTATAACAGGTTCTTAGCAATGACCCAAATTCTATAATCACTGTATTTAACCAACTGTCTATAGGTCTAGCAGAATGAAATGACACTGGAATACTAAGAAACTGGATTCTAGTTGTGGTTCAGTCATTAACTAGCGGTGTGAATTTGAGCAGGGTACTTTGCCTCCCTGGACTCCATTTTCATTTCTGAGTAAAAACATGTGCCTGTGGCTGAGGCAGGCTCCTATCACCTTTCCTAATTTTTCATATCAATAGAGCCAGAACATGTGTATTTAGAATCTACTTAATTTAGCTCAAAGAATTTGCTTTACTTTGTACAGAGCTATGTTTCCAAACAAAAACATCAGTACAAGGTGCTGGGGGCCACCACCAGCAGTAACGCATCCCACTCCTGAATTTCTGCTTGAGTCCTTCAACAAAGGTGAATGCTCTCATCTCAGACACTGGAGCAGAGCGATGGGTTCTCAGTGTGGATGCGATTCCCACTGCCTTTCTGAAAGATGCTGTTGTCTCAAGCTGACTGTGCTAGGACAAGAGAAATGAACAAAGAATGACTGCCGTGAGCTCCATACAGTTAGAGGACAAGCAGAGATGCAGACACACTAAAAGAAAAAAAACCAACAACTAGCCAAAAATAGGCTCAAAGCATTCTGATGTTTGCACTAACGTCCAAGAGATATAGTGGTCACTGGAGAAGCCACTTAAGGGGAAAGGGACAACTTTTGATGTAAAAATAACCTAAGAGCTTATAATGCACCTTACATACACTTACACTGACAGCTCTGCTATGAGAGAGATAAAAGCAAATTCCACTTCTCAAAGCGGAATAAGAGTACACGTATTTAAGCTCATAAATATGTTATAATGTTTATTGTGTACTGTCTGTAGAGGCTAAAAACTGAAAATAACCTGAATGTTTGTAAACAGGGAGATGGTGAAATAAAGTGTGCGATAACCATATCTGGAATATTATGCAGCTATGAAAATGAATAAACTAGATCCAGAGGCAGCTATGAAAGGTTTTTAAGTGATAGAACAAGTTGCAGAGTAACATATAGATCATGAGCATTTTTTTAAAAAATCATTAAAAACACTACATATGTGTGTATGTTTCTATGAGCAACTGGTTTGGTGAAAGAAGAATTACAACAGGTTAATAACATAGGTGCTCTCAGGATTGTGGTGATGGAAGATGAGGGAAAAGATTAACTTTTCTTTATATAACTTTGGATATTTTTTACTTGTTATAGCAAGTGCATTTATATTTACTTAAATTTTAGTAAAGACAAAATAAATTCCTGTAATATGTACTCTCACAATCTAAAGGCCTACAAAATATAACTGTAAAAAAACAAACATTATCCCACAGACTGTGCCATCCAGCACTTCTCAAAGTGACAGAAACCAGCTCTGCTCTTAAAATAACCTGTGGTCAGTTCATATTGTGGAGGTAGGAAGAACTGGACTGGCTCTTCTCCAAATCCTGTCGCTGCCATCCGATCCATACCCATCTAATACTTTCAGTTCAGTATGGAGAAAAAGGAGAGGAAAACGAAGAAAATGGACAATGAGAGAGCTGGTCTCTGTAAAAACCGACACTTGCTCAGCTGTCAAAGAGGAGAATGATTCATCTGAAACAAAGGCTATTCCTCCCACTTCTGTAAACCCTAAGTTTAATCACTAATGCTTATGTTTTCTCCCTTGTTTTGAGAAGTAATTATGGGCCAAACATTTCAGAGTTTTAAGAGAGACTGCTGTAGGCCTACTTTGTGTCTTAAGTTTATCTCTGAGCAGACAAAACAATCTAAGGTCAAAGACTGTGGTCAACAGCACTTCATTCTGAGAATGAGTTATCAGAATTATACTGTGTTAACCGTTGGCTCATTTAAATGGAATGGGTTGGAATAGGAAAGTTTAGCAAAATCCTTAGAGGCTAGAATATATACTTTTTAATTTAAAGAGCTGTCATGATTTGTTTCTGTTACCCCCAAGATATCTAACTCCCTGGGACCATCATCTCATCATTATAGAATCAGGAGGCCCAAGAAACAGAATTCTAGCTGACCTCACAAACACAGCCCTAGCCAATGCCTTTGTATCATAATACAATACACAGTTTTCTGGATTAGGACACAGGGAAGGAAGCATCTGTTACAGAGTTGGTTTAAAAAATCAGCAAAGGTGTCTGTGAAACTGTTTGGGTTCTGACATGTACTGCTGAGCTTGTCTGCCTGACCCTTACTCCACCTGATCATAAAGTTTGGGACACCACATTTTATTCTGTGCTAAGCTGTGGGAGATCTACCCAGAAAGGTAAGTTCATTAGCTAAAAAGAAGTTATAAGGTATTTGGATATGAGCAATTTTGGGATAATATGAAACAACACTTCTTTTCAGAACCACATGGGGAGAACAATTTAAAGTGAGGTGCTGTTCTCTGAGGACCAAAAAAAAAACAGCTCAAAAATAGAAAAGCTGTGGAGAAGAAACATATAAGGTTGAAGCATGAGGGTTTTACTTATATGGGTTTACATAAGGAGGGGATATACGTCCCAATGTCACCTAAGACAAATGTAATCAGAGAAAGAAATTAAATAGTAATCAGGTTTATAATCTAATCATATTAACCCTAGACTCTGAAGGGTTAACTAACTTTATAGTTTATATAATCTATAAAAACATTTATAAGAGTAAGTACTCCGATACTATAAATGCTGTTAAGTTTACAACAAACATGTTTGGTTCCGTATTAAGAATAGGAAGAAAAGAACAGGCTTTAGGGTAAATACAGCACATCACCCAGTAAAACAATAATGATGTTCAGTACTAAATGTACAAACGCAGGGGCCAAGAGTATACAAAATATTCTGAGAACCTAAGCCCGTATCATCCCTACCACACGTAAAGGGCCGCTCCATTATATTCCAGAAGGAGACTTCGGTTATTTTTGTACCGAAACAATTTCCTGTCACTCATATCCTCTTTGGTCATGTCTCAGTCACAGTGGAAAACAAAAGCCAGGGCAACAGGGTAAATGAAGCAGAAAGAGGAGCTGACCAGAGAGGACCTGCCATTAAACGACACCTTTAACGGCCTTCTGCCTGCCCCGCTGTTCTAGCCCTTTCTCAGAAACCCCGGCCGTGGCCTGATCACCTGCTGGGCCCTTTCTTACAGATTCCTGGCCTGGTACTGACCTCTGGGCTCCTCCATCCCCTGATTAACCCCCTCCCCGCACAGCTCTGCTTCCAGCGCTCTCCCCTCTCCCTCCCACTTCGCGCTTCAATCTCGGGTTCTCCACTACTGAACCTGCTCTTTATAAAATCAGGACAACCAGTTATCAGTCGCCTTCCCTGCTTCCTAACAGGTACAAAGGATCACCTCCCCAGATACGCCGGAGGGGGCTGTAGACAGCCAAAACCACGCTCACACTCGGGGCCCTGGGCTGTGAGGAGCTGAGAGCTGGGCACAGTAGGTGCCTGGGCCCCTCGCACTGTGCGCCACAAAGGCATCACCAGGGACACTGCCACCTGCAAGCATGATGGCAGGACAATGAGTGAGTGAGAATACATCTTAATTTTCTTTATTCTTTTTTTCCCTTTGAAAAATGACTTTCTGTTCTTTCCACCTTCTTAAATGAAAATATCTTTAAAACACCTGAGAGCTGGGGCGAGGAGTGGGTGTGCAGTAGTTAAGCCCCTTATAATGCTGCAATTTCAGGCTTTGACCATGACCCACAGTAAAAAATACATTTACATCATAACCCAATGCACACACAATATCTGTATCTATATCTATAGTTATAGCTAAAGTAATATAGTTGATCATTAAGGGCAGTGTACTTTCATATTCTCTATTCAATTCTATCCTTTAAAAAAAAAATTGGGTCACACAATGTTGAGCTAAAGAAGCCTGATACAGAGAGTGCACACTGTATGATTCCGTTTATAGGAAGGTCTAGAATAACTGAGACTAACCTACAATGAAAGAGGTCAAAAGAATGAGAATACCAGCTGGGAGGGAGTTACAGGACAGTCTGCTGGGTGCTGGAAATACTCTACATATTGAGATCTGGGAGGTATATGTGTGTGTACAAATGTGAAATCCATTAAGCTGTACAATTAGCACTTGAGAATTTTACTATATATAAGTTCTACTTCAATAAAAAAAAGAATAGAAAAAAATAAAACAAAATGAAATGGGGGTTGAAACCAATTAAATTGATTTTACCAACTAAAATAGCTTCAGCTTGATGGTTTTTACCCAGTTTGAAAATAGCTCCAAATATGTTATACATATATTTTCAAAAAGAATATCTATCTATCTATCTAAAGATAGGCTTTGTGTCAGGCTTCTTTAGCTCAACATTATGTGACCCAGTTTTTTGTGTGTTTTTTAAATGTGTATGTATATATATTTTTTATTTTAAAAATATCTCCCTAGGTCTTAAAATCAAGGAATTCTGAATTATGCTGGCCAGGTAGTAGTAGGCAATGAGAGAAGAAAGGAAAGCACAACTCCTGTATGTGTTCACAGGAAAAAATACAGATTTCTAATTAATCAACATTGGACTCAAATAATATGAGTCTGCTCCTAGGTATCCATTGTGTCACCCAGTAAGTGTGGAAAGTTCTGTTTTCAATTCTAGATTGCATTGCATATAATATCTGTTTCGACAAATGTTTTGCTTTGATAAATTGTGGACCCCAAAACATCTAGAAATAAAAAAGCAAACCTTAATGTAAAATATGATACACAGAAGTTTATGACACAAAAAACCAAACACACACACCAAAACTCTTCTCAGCCTAAAAGGTAGTTACAATGGTGACACTAAAATTAGCTTTAATAGGCAGGTGCTAAAAAGATACTGTGGTAACAGTCAAGTCCTAAGAAAAACAATATTCTGAAGTCCTAGCCAGGGAGGGAGATTTTATATTTTAGAAGAACCATGTTGTCTAAAGTAAAGGTCAATGCTGAATGCTAGTCTATTTATAATCATATACAGATAAACCATGCTTTCTATTACAGTGTTTAAGACATGGGTGTGTACAGCCTCTATTCCATTGTGTTCGGAAAAAAAAAAAAAAAAAAA